TATTGGTTACTAAAAATACTACCAAAAAACACTGCAAAAACAAATACAAAAAAAAATATCAAAAATTGCCAAGGACACACTAGAGAATTCACCACACAATGCCAAAGGTGTTTAAGAAAAACAAACACCAAAAAATTTATTACTGTTCCAAAAGTGCCCAAGAACAAATACCGGAGAATTCACCACACAATACCAAAGTTGTTCAAGAACAAATACCAGAGAATTCATCATAGTGCTGAATGTGTCCAAGAACAAACACCAAAGAATTCACCACACAATGCCAAAGGTGTTCAAGAACAAACACCAGAGAATTCATCAAAGTACCGAAAGTGCCAAAGAACAAACACCGGAGAATTCACCACATAATACCGAAAGTGTTCAAGAACAAACACCAGAGAATTCATCACAGTGCTGAAAGTGCCCAAGGACAAATGCCAGAGAATTCACTATACAACACCGAAGGTGTTCAAGAACAAACACCAGAGAATTCATCAAAGTACCAAAAGTGCCCAAGAACAAACATCAAAGAATTCACTACATAATGCCGAAGGTGTTCAAGAACAAACACCAAAGAATTCATCACAGTGCCGAAAGTGCCCCAAGAACAAATGCTGGAGAATTCACCACACAATGCCGAGAACAAACACCAGAGAATTCATTATAGTGCTGAAAGTGCCAAAGGACAAATGCCAGAGAATTCACCACACAATACCAAAGGTGTTAAGAACAAACATCAGAGAATTCATCACAGTGCCCAAGAACAAATGTCAGAGAATTCACCACACAATGCCGAAGGTATTCAAAAATATTAGAGAATTCATCACAGTGCCAAGAACAAATACCGGAGAATTCATCACAATGCCGAAGGTATTCAAGAACACCAGAGAATTCATCACAGTGCCAAGGACAAATGCCGGAGAATTTACCACACAATTCCGAAGGTATTCAAGAACATCAGAGAATTCATCACAGTGCCCAAGGACAAACTCTGGAGAATTCACCACACAATGCTGAAGGTATTAAAGAATACCAGGACAAATGGAGAATTCACTACACAATGCCGAAGGTGTTCAAGAACAAACACCAGAGAATTCATCACAGTGCCAAAAGTGCCCAAGGACAAACGTCAAAGAATTCACCACAACACTGAAGGTATCCAAGAACAAATACTAGAGAATTCATCACAGTGCCAAAATTGCCCAAGGACAAACACCGGAGAATTCACTACACAATACCAAAAGTGTTTAAGAACAAACATCAGAGAATTCATCAAAATACTGAAAATGCCCAAAAACAAACACTGGAAAATTCACTACATAACACCAAAGGTGTTCAAGAACAAACACCAGAGAATTCATCATAGTGTCGAAAGTGCCCAAGGACAAATGCCAGAGAATTTACCACACAACGCTGAAGGTTTCAAGAAAAAACACCAGAGAATTCATAACACCGAAGATGCCCAAGAACAAATACCAGGCATAACACCAAAAGCATCCAAGAACAAACACCAGAGAATTCACTACACAACACCAAAATTGTCAAGAAGAATTCACCATATAATGCTGAAAGTGTTCAAGGACAAACACCCCACATAACACCGAAAGTGCCCAAGAACAAACACCAGAGAATTCATTACACAATGCCGGAGACAAGCACCAAAGAAAAAGAACTCTCACACAACATTGAAAGTGTTCAAGAAAAATTCACCATATACTGCCAAAAGTGCCCGAAAACATGCACCAGAGAATTCACCACATAATACTGAAAGTGCCCAAGAACATGCCCAGAGAATTCACTATACAATGTCGAAAGTGTACAAGGACAAGCACTAGAGAATTCATCACACAATGCTAAATGTGCCCAAGAACAAGCACCAGAGAGTTTACACACAATGCCAAATATGCCCAAAGACAATACCAGAAGGTTTACAATGCTAAGGACAAACAACAAAGATTCATATGCCAAAAAAATGCCCGAGGACAAACACCAGAAGATCCACAATGCCGAATTGAGAATTCACCTTACATTGCCAGAAGAGCACAGAAATACACTATATAACGTCAAAAGTTCCTAGAATAAATACATTGAAAAAGCTCAAAAAAACACTAAAGAAAGCACTGAAAATACCTAAGAATTCCAGAGAATATATTAAAAAAAAAGATTATCTCCATAGAAATGCTGAAGAAACATCCTAAGAGAAAAGCGAAACATTAATAAGGTGGAAGAAAAAAATAAAAAGACAAAAAAGAGCTAGAGAAAGTCATCATGAAAAAAAAAAATCAAAACCTATGATTATCAAAGATGATTATTTTGCCAAAAAAGAACTTACCTATTTGGGCAGGGTAAGATCGTTCGATCTTATATTGGCAGTTTGATCAACTACATAAACCTTAGTCATGTGATTTCTGTGTTTTTTGATTGGCCAAAAAGGCCAGAGATATATAAGTTATATACCTCTGGCCAGAAATACCTAGAAAAACCCTTATATATATATATATATATATGGGGGTAAGTCAATAGAAAAGGGACAAATCATTTTTAGTAATTTTTTTTTAATTTTTAAATTAAA